GGGGGGGGGGGGGTGCCACAGGCCTCCCCTCTTCCTCCCTTCAATCCATGCCAGGGCCAGACATGCTCTGCTGCTGCTCAAAGGAATTGGAGTTGGCATGCTCTGGCCTGGTTGCCAGCATCCCCCTCCAGCAGGCCTGGGGGTGGTGGGGCAAGGGGCTGTGGGTTGGGAGTGAGAGTTACCGGTGTGGCTGGAGGGGCTGTGACTTGGGAGTGAGGAGCACAGATGGTGAGGGGCTGTGGATTGGGATTGCAGGGCACTGGCGGCACCAAAGGGCTGCACGTCAGGAGTGAGGGGCACCAGCAGGGACAGGGGGCTGTGGAAAACTGTGGGTGAGGAGTAAGGGGTACTAGCATGGTCGGTGGGGGGAGGCAGGGAACTTTGGGTCAGGAGTGAAGGTCAGCAGCAGGGATGGAGGGATGCAGGTTGGGACTGAGGGGCAGTGGCAGGGACAGGAGGATGTGGGTTGGGAGTGAGGTGTCCCCCTGACAGGTGTCCCCTTTTTTGGAACTGGATATACGGTAACCATAGGCACTACCTAATATCTGAATGGTGGAGTGGTGGTTAGCACACTGTGTTGGAAAGTAACAAGGGTGTAGGAAAATCTGAAAGGAAAAAGGCTGAGGAGAGATAGAAAAGGAAGAGATGGTACATGGTGTTTTGTGACAAAGAGATGCTAGTTAAAGACATACAGCTCCACACATGAACTGGGAAGAGAAAGAGAATGTTTTGGCTCCAGTTACTGTTTTTGTTGTGGGATGACAGAAGCATTAGCTATTGATGGGTGATAAATGAGAATGTAAGCATGGAAATACGAAGTGTGATGTAATAATTCTGTCATGATGTGGAGATGTGAAAATAGAGATATTTAATAAACTAAATATCTGAAAATACAGATTGTGTTGATATTTTTATTTAAAATATAGTGAAATAATGAAATAGTGAAACAAAATGTTACTTCAAAATTTCCTTCCAAAAATGTGGAAATGTAATGTTTGACTCAACTGAAATTTTCAGGTCTTTTCCCTGACCTGCTCTCTTTATTTACTTACTGGTTTATGAATGTGCTTCAATAACTCTTAAATAACAAAGATGCATGGTTTTTATTTTAAAAAGCCAAGCTGACCTGGGTGTTCTGTGTTCCTCTCATCATTAATCATTTCAGCCTGTCTAATTATTGTTAAATGCTTTCATAACTCTTGAGTGTCAATGACAAAGGTAAATGATGAAGTATAGTCATTAGTTCAGAGTGTAACATTCCAGAATCCTCGTAAACTGTGATATTCATTTATCAAATTGTAATATGTAGGGCTTTTTTCTTACTTTTTTTGTGGAAATCCTAGATAAAGAAGCTCTGCTGCCAGCTCCTCAAAATATCTCTATTTTTTCCACCAATATGAAGCACTTCTTAACCTGGAGTCCGGTGATCATCCCTGGAGAAACTGTGAGATACTCTGTTGAGTTTCAGGGGTAAATTTCATTTTTTTTTCTCCACTGAACATTGCATTGACTATACATGTTTACACCATTAAAGTTGCCTCCATTATATGCTAGTGTTTTCCACACATACATGCAAGTACTACTTTTGGCACACAATTTTGGATTCTATTTTTGGCACATTGCAGACACACAGCATCCATACACCAACTGAGCGTAGTCAACATAGCTGCCTTCTGGATCAGGCACAATAATCTAGCAGTCCTGGAAAATCCCATGACTAATGGGTGATCGATACCAGAGGGAGAACAGGACCCTCTTATGATTTAGCTAACTAACCAAGTGGTTGGCCACCTACACCACATACAAAAGGGATTTAAATCTATATTTCTCAGCATAATGCAGGTGATAGCAATGTAAGTGGAAGTAGAATCTAAACTCTGTGTAAGTGCCAAAAATTGCACTTATATAACTATATAAATACCGCTTAGGTACAGAACACTGAGAGTGAGTGTAGATGTGTAGGGAGGCTGCTTGCTCTGACATGCTGTAATTGAGTCTGCTGCAGTGTGCTAATTAGCATGCCTCCAGCAGCCTTTGCATCTTGTGTATCAGCATCCCCACACTTCAAAATGGTGGCAGGGGCACTTTAACTAAACCTCTTTTGATGAGCTTTGGTTAAAGCATCCCCCGCTGCTATTTTGAAGCACAGGGATGCTGATACATGAGATGCTGAGGGCCCTTTAATTACAGCGGCTCTTGTAACTACTGTAATTAATGTGCCCCTCCCCAGCCCCAGAGTATGCCTACAAACACCCTGAAATAGTATTTGATTATTCAAATGTTAGCTATGTTTAAATACACATTACACATTCACATTAAAGGAGAAAATCATGGGAGATGGCAAGTTCCTTTTGCAGGCTGGCAGAGTTCCAGCCTGTAAGGGGCTGTTTAGGGCTGGGGGGAACAGGATACAGGGGACAGAGGGTGCAATGTGCATGTGCGTGCACACACATGCATGTGGCAGCCAGGCAGCACAGCAAAATACAATACACTCACACAGAACAACACAGCACAGCAAACACTGTTCACGTTTCTGCAGAAACTTCCTTAGCCTGACAAAGGATTTTTGAACCCGAAAGCTTGCTTAATAATTTTTTCCAACAATTTAAGTTGGTCTAATAAAATATATCAGATTCACCCAAAGAACCTTGTCTGCCTGTGTCCTTAGACCAACACGGCTACAACCTACACCCTTATACATGTGGGGAAGCTGATGCTTGATACAGCCCTTAGAAGATATAGCCTGATTAAGGGGTTGGATTACAGAACTACTAATGTATTTTAAATCATTTTGTGGTATCTCTTTGCTTTCCCTAGGGAGTATGAAAGATACTATGCCAATGAGAGCTGGATTCCCATCAGTGAGTGCTCATTCATCATTGTTACTCAGTGTAATGTGACAGAGGACATCTCTGCTACTGTGCCCTATAATCTGCGTGTTAGGGCAGATGTTGGTACTCAGGGTTCAGAGTGGGGCACCCTGAAACGTCTCTTCAATCGCAATACAAGTAAGTTCCTTGGCTGCATTTGTTAGGAATATCACTACTTCATCTAAGCATGATAAACTGTTCATTTTTTAAATAATAATTTTTATTCATGCTCAAACAAGCAATCAAGTCACAGTACTATTGTATAAATGCTACAAGCTACAATGTAGTTACTATTTTAACGGTAATGGCTAATTATGGCTACAAACAGACCAATTACTTGTTGTTTACTAAATAATCACTTTGTATGACTTAAAATCAATGCATAGCAACAAATGCTATTTTAAAATTAAATCTCTTAACAAAAGATTAACACACAAGAAATTACTGAATAATTTACCTTTCTGCTTAAGCAAGGACAGGTGACATTACAATTACACATTACACTGATTAAACATTACAATTAGATCTTGTTAAGAGCATTTAAAACTTGAAGGATTGCAATTTCAAGCTCCTTAACAAATGTTAAGTACCCACTAGGCATCCTAAAGTTATACCACACCAAGTGAGGATTATCTTTGAGCTGTGCTAGGTAGCTCAATTTAAAGGGTGTGTTTACATATTACAATTAGCATCTGCCAACTTTAAGGAATGTTAGATTTTTGTTAAAATTAGCTTGTGCTGGGAGCTGTGTGAGTATGTGTTCAGGGTTAATCCCCTCTGGGATGTGTACAGCTCTGAGCTCTCTTCAGAGGGCTGGCTGTACTATTCATGCCTCCTGAGCATTGTGAATGTGTGTGTGCTGTACTGTGTTAGTTATCTGTGTATGCTCTGCTGTGCTAGTTTCCACTGCATGAGTGTGTGCTGTGCGGCACTGTGTGAGTGAGTGGATGTTGTGCTGTGCTGTATGTGTTGTGCTGCAATGTGCGAGTGTGTGTGCTGTGCTTTGCAAGTGCGTGTGTTGTGCTATGTTGTGATGGGCTGTATGAGTGTGTGCTGTGCTGCAGTGTGCAAGTGCATGTGTTGTGATGCACTCAGGGTGCTGTGCTATGTGTATGTACTGTGCTGCACTGTTTATTGAGTGTGCTGTGCTGTGCTACGCTGTATATGTGTGCTGTGCAAGGGGGTGGGTGCTGTGCATGTGTTGTGCTGTTTGTGTGCTATGTTCTGCTACTCTGTGGGAGTGTGTGTGCTGTATTGTGTGTATTGTGCTGGTTATGTTTTGCTCCATTGTGAGAATATGTGTGATGTGCTGAACTGTGCTCCATGTGGATAGGTAGTGCTGTGCTGTACTGTGTATGCGCTGTGCTCTTTGTGTGTATCGTGCTGGGAATGTGTGTGCTACCCTGTGTTGTGTTGTGCGAGTGTGTGTATTGTGTTGTGCTTTGCTGCACTGTGCATGTGTGCTTTGTGCTCTGCTGTGCTGTACTAAGCTGTTTGTATTTGCTGTGCTCTGTTGGGTTGCACTGTTCAAGTGTTTGCTGTGCTGTGTTGTTCCGTGTGAGTGTATTGTGTTTTGTGTGTTGTACTGTGCTGTGTGTGTGTCCGTGTTGTGTTCTGCTATGCATTTGCTGTTTGTGTGCTGTGCTGCTGTGTATTTTAGTATTTGGGACTGTCTCTGTGTGTGTTGCTGCTTGGGGCTTTATGTTTTTGTGTGTTTTGGGAGTTGGGGCTGTCTGTGTTGAAGGTTAGGGTTGGGTGTGTACTGGGGGTTGTGTGTGTGTTTGGTGTTGGGGGTGTGTGTTGGCAGTTGGGGCTGTGGATATCTGTGTAGATTTTGGGGGATGCGTGTGTGTGCCTGTTCAGGCTTGGAACTACGTTCATGTGTGTGGTAGGGGTTGGGTCTCTGTGTGTCTGTGGGGGGACTGTACACCTGCAGGGAAGCTGCTCTGATGTGCTGTAATTACATGGCATTGGAGCAGACTTGATTAATTGAGTCAGTTACAGTGTGGTAATTAGGGTGCTCGAACCAGCCTCTGTGTCTCCCTGTATCAGTGTCCCTACATTTCAAAATGGCACCGGGGGTGCTTTAACTAAAGCTTTTTCGATGAGCTAAAGTGCCCTACCACCATTTTGAAGCATAGGGCACTGGTACATAAGACACTTTAATTATAGCAGCTCTTGGAGCCACTCTAATTAAAGCATCCTCCTGCCCACACTCCAAGAACACATGTAAAATCACCCAGTGTCAGAGGTTTAGGGCTCTGTGTGTGTTGGGGTTTGGAGCTATGTGTGGGGGTCAGGCTGGAGCTGTGTGTGTGCGCTTTGTTGGGGTCATTGATGTGGAAGTCTGTGTGTGCATGTTTGGTGTTGTGGCTGTGTGTGTTTTTACATCTGCTGGAGATTGAGGCTGCGTGTTTGGTGTTTGGCTTGTGTGTGGCTGGGGCTGGAATTGTGTGTGTGTGTGTGTGTGTGTGTGTGTGTGTGTGCACGCTGGGTGTTGGGGCTGTGAATGTTTCTGTGTGTGTTGAGGGATGTGTTTGTGTGTGTTGTTCAGTGTAGGTGCTGTGTGTGTGTCTTGGCAGTTTGCACTGTGTGGGTTTGTGTCAGGGCTTGGGGCTCTTTTTGTGTATTGGAGTTCTGTTCATGTGTTGGGATCAGAGGTACTGTGTGTGTTGGAAGTTAAGGCTGTATGTGTGCATGGTGGGGATGGGGCTATGTGTGCATCTTGCAGATTATGTCTGTGTCTGCATGTTTTGGGTGGTGTGCATGTGTGTGTCCATGTGTGTTGAGGGTTCAGGCTCTCAGTGTGTTTGTGGGTCAGAGGATTGGACTCTGTGTCTCCGGTGCTGGTGATGGTGTGTGCATATATAGGATATTGTGGCTCTGTGTGTGTGTGTGTGTGTGTGTATGTGTTGGTTGTATTGGGGTTTGGACTGTATGCATGTGTTGTGGGGTTCTGGCTGTCTCTGTGCATGTATTAGGGGTGTGCAAAATGGGCCGTATTCAATTCTGCTTTGGATTTGGCCTGAATTGGGGGCAGTGATTCGATTTGTTAGTTCAAATCACTGTCGCTGATTCAATTTGGCCGAATCCAAATCTGAAAGATTCAATGCTAATTTGCAGAATCAGCAATTTGGCCATAGACACAACTTCAAATGTTTTTTCTACATACCTCAAGGTACCAGGCGCGGCTCGTGAATGCTGCGATGCTGGGGAGGATGAAGCGTCCCACAGGAGAGCAAGGGGCCCCCTGTGTTCTTAATGGTGAACCCAGAAGTGGACCAGAAGTCCTTCCGGTCCACTTCTGGGCCCACTGGGGAGCAAGCTGGGGGGATCCGCCCATGCCCCCCTGGCTCCATGATCAGCTGCAGGGGGACCCTGGGTGCCCCCCCAAACTCAAGAGGCACCAGTTGCTGAGCCAGAGGGGCCCCCCAGCACACTCCCCGGCGGACCCAGAAGCACTTCTGGTCCACTTCTGGGTCTGCTGCCAAGCATGCTGGGGAACCTCCTGTGCTCCTGTGGGATGCTCCATCTGCCCCAGCATCCCAGCATTCACAAGTCACCTGGTACCTTGGGGTATGTAGAAAAACATTTAAACCTGTGTCTATGTCTGAATTGCTGAATCTCTCTGAATAATTCAGAGGGTTCAGATTCAATTCAAAGAGATTAAAGGGTCTCCTGATTTGATTCAGATTCAGAGATTTGGCCACTGAATTGGCTGAATCTCCGTCAAATCAAATTGGGGACTGAAGCTTCGCAAAGCCCTAGCGTGTATAGTATGTATTGGGGATGTGTGTTTGCCTTTCAGGATTAGGCTCCATATAGGTTTGTGTTGGAGGCTTGGGCTGTGTTTGTGTATTGGTAGCTATGTGTGTGTCAGAGGGGTTGGGACTTTCTGTGTTTTGGGACTTGGGGCTTTGTGTTACAGTTTGGGGCTGTTTGTGTGGCAAGGGTTTGGGGTGGTGTGCATGTATGAGCCTCTGTGTGTGTGTTAGTGTTTGGAGCTGTGCATACATGTTTGGGTTGTGGCTGTGCATTTTTGAGGGGTTTGACTATGCATGTGTGCATGTCTTGAAGTATTGAGCTGTGTGGCTGTGTTGGGAGTAGGGACTCTGCTTTTCTCTTGGAGGTTGAGGCCCTGAGTAGTTTTGTGTCGGGGGTTGGTGCTTTGCACTTTTGTTGGGGTTTGGGGCTCTGCATGTGTGTGTTGGGGGGCTGTGACTCTGTGGGCTTGTGTCAGGGTTGGGGTTGTGTGTGTTTATGTCTTGGGGGTTATGTGTGTATTTTGAGGGCTGAAACTCTGTGTGTGTGTGTGTGTGTGTGCATGCACACATGTTTGTGTTTTGGCTGCTGGGGCTGTGGATGTCTTTGTGTGTGTTGGGGGATGTAGATGTTGTCACAACCCAGTGATTTTTTGTGCCTTGGCACTATGGAATTTCCTGGCCACATGAGAGCTCCTTTGCACAGCAGAGTGTTCTGCTGCAATTAAGAGCCTGCGTGCAGGAGAGTTCCTGCCAATTTGCAGTTTCCTTTGCAGGATGCATTTCTTCTTTGCAGCACAGAGATGCACGGTGCAAAGAGTTCCCGCTATTCGGATGTAAATTTGTGCCCCGTTATTGGCCAGTGCTAAATTATTCACACGTGGCGGCTAGGAATTGGCTGGCTGGCCGTTTAAAATTCCGCGCGACTTCCGCCCAAGTCGAAGAGCTTTGAGCACGCTGCAGAGTGCCTCTGAAGTTATCTGACTTGCGGCTGCCGATCGATAGACTGATCACCTATCGATCTTTCTTCCCGTCACCGAGCGCAACCCCGACGTACCCCTTTCTCCGCCGGCTTCGAATTGCGGCCGGATTAACTGGCTTGGGCCCTGCCAGCTGGAGCAACTCGTGTGGTTGTTCCGACGACCGGACCACCTGCGTCGTGATTGCAAGCGGCGTGAGTAAAGTTTTTGCAACCAATAAGTTGTGTCTGCCTCTCCATTCACCAGCCTGCCCTGACGTACGAGCATAACTCAAGTCGGCCCTGGCCGTCCGAGACAGATGTATGTGGTTTTGTGTTAGGGATTGGTATTGTGTCTGGGGGTTGTGTGTTTGCATTGTGAAATATCTGTGTGTGTTTTAGGATGAGTCTGTGTGTGTTTCTTGCAGGTTGTGGCTGTGTGTGTATTTGTGTTGGGGGTGTGTGTGTGTGTCCATGTAGAGTGTTGGGGCCTGGTATGTCTCTGTTGTGGATTGGGGCTCTATTTGTGTGTATTGGAGTCTGGGGCTTTTTGAGTATGTGTGTTTTGGTTGTGCTGTGTGTGTTGTGCAGTGGGAGTGCCTGAGTTTGTTGGGCTTTGTGGTGTGTCTGGTGGTTAGGGCTTTGTGTGGGGGGTTGTAATTATGTGTGTGTTTGTGTTGCAGGGTCTTGAATGTTTGTGTGTTGTGGGTCTGCGGTGTATGTCTATTTCTGTTAGGGGTTAAGGCTGTCCAATTTGTGTTGTGTGAGTGTGTTGTTTTGTGGTATGCTATTTTGTTTCTTGTGCTCTGTGTGTGTTGTTTTCTGCTGTGCAAGTGTGTGTTCTGTTCTCTATGCATTGTGCTGTGCTGTGTCAGTGTGTGTTGTTTTATACTGTTTGTGTTGTTGTGTGTGTTGGAGGTTGGAGCTGTGTGTCTATTGTGTTTGTGTGTGTTCTTTGGTTTGGGGCTGTGTGTATTTGCGTATGTGTATGGGAGGGAAGGTATTCAGGTTGTGGCCGTATTAGTCTAGAGGCAAAAAGAATCTACCAGGACTCATGGTAGAGGTGATATTTTTTATTAGACCAACTAGATTTTTGCAAAAATAAATTATTTAATTGCAAGCTTTCAGGTACAAACACCCTTCTTCAGGCATAGGAGAAAAGATTGTAAAAGTTCTCCTGGGTAAAAATAAAAGTACATATTTCATAGGAGAGTTGAAGGTGTGGTGAAATCTCCTATTTGGAACAGTTCATTTTCTATGCAGATTAGGCTCAGAGAAAAATTGGAATAGTCTGTTTACCTCAAAGCTGGTTAGTGGTAAGCAGGATGTAGGTGCATTGTTCTGATTGCTGGGGCTGGGTGGATGTGTTTCTGCTAGAAAGCCAGGCAGAAATGGACCAGACTTGTCAACTCCTAGCTGTGCCCCTCCTTTCTAGCCTTCTAGCTACAGCTCAAAGCTGTGAATGTTATAGTGTGCTTTAACCCCACACATGCAATTTATCACAGCACGGTGGTATCTTTAAAGAATGGTAGGCCCTTGTTTAAAGTTAGCATATGATGCCTGTAACTTGTAAACACATTCTCAGAACAGGACACAGATTGAACAAGGCCTACGTGACCCCATTTGGAAATACAGGTTTCCCTCACCAACCACTGGGATTAGGTTCCTGGAAGTTCCCGTGGCTGGCAAAACTGTGGTTAGCAAGACAAAAGGCTTATGGGAAAATGGCAGGTGGTGGGCTGATGTGCGGCCATGGAAAACCCTGGTTACTCAAAACTGTATACTGTGGTAGCCAAAATGGTAAATAAAATATTAAGTGTGGGTACTCAAAACCATGGTTGGTAAAACTGTGGTTGGTGAGGGGAACCTGTAATATGTTCTTCAAATTCTCACCTTAATTTTTAAACATGAAAAGTCATTCTCTTCTCCTTCCATTTATGGGGTAACTGCACATGTGACTCAAATCTACACTTAGCACATTGCTCAGTGTGCACTTTCTTTTATGTTATCACAGCAGTGGGAGTAGAACTAATTACATCAAACACCACTGCTCTAATAGCCTTGCTACACATTCAAATGAAAGCTGGATAGAAACCAGTTGCAGAGTTGTTACACTTTTTCAAGCACTAACTTTATAGGTGGTTGGTTCTTTTTATAGCTGGATAGGCATTTCATTCTGTAATAATTACTTTGCACTCATGGCCCATCTAAATTTATTGAGGACTTTACCATTGAATTGCATGATATTGAAACCTGTAACAGGGGAGTATGTTTGGCTGTACTATTAGAGATGCCCTCCTTCTTTTGCTGGAGTGGACTTGAATGAGATTTTCAGCTACTACAGCCAAAATGCATAGTGTGAAAACTTTAGACTGCAGAGTCTGCAGCGATAACTTAGAGGTACTTTTTAATACAGGTTTTTTCAACTTCTTTTAGTAAGTGTACCCCCAGTGGCCAGGAGGTGAGGAGTGGCACATAGCTGGGGCGGGGGGGCATGGTGCATGGCTTGACTCAGAGCGGGCGGGGTACGCTTACTAAAAAATGAACAGAGTGGTGGCAGCATGGGGTGGTGGGAAGCAGTAGCATGGTGGAAGTTTCCCATTCCTGCATCTGGCTGGCCAGGCAGTGCCTGCGCAGCCCGCAGAGGGGCGCCACTGCCCTCGCCCATCCCTGGCCCTGCTCCTGGGAGGTGTTGGTGCTCTGTCCCCACCTGCCCACACATACACCTTACCGCCCTCCCAAGTACCCCCAGAGGTAAGTGTACCTCCGGTTGACAACCCCTGTTCTAATACCTTGATCTCACACTCAGCAACACAAGCTGTGAATTTCCCATGTTTGTTTCAGTATTTAGTGATGATATTCTGTTCATGTTTCACTCCTATAATACTGATGAAATGAAAATCTGAAATCAGAACAAGCCATGAGTATTCTAGTAGGCAAGAAACAAATAATTTACAATAGTACTTAGATACAGGAAAGAGACTATAAAAGTCACAGACAGCTGGCAGGGAACAGCCTGATTAATTCCCATCAGGGCCACTTGAGAGCCACATGCTTGAGAATCAGGGCAATAGAAAACAATGTCAGAGAAAGAAATGATAAGTATTTCCCTAAGAGGCAAGGATTTCTTAGAGTGATATTTTTTTTATTGGACCAACTAGGTATTTTATTTGGGATTAAGTTAGACAAGCTTTCAAATGCAAAATATTCTTCCTCAGTGGGTGCATCTACACAAGACACTTACTGCTCATTAGCCTAATAATACTGCTCAGTAGCACATTACAGAACAAACCATGCTAATAGCCTACTGCACAGTGTTATCAGGCTAATGTGAAGTAAGCGTCACTAAATAATCATGTAGTGGAGCTACTGTGCAGTAACCCTTGGTACTTCACATTTAGTTAGTCCTTTATTAAGGAAGTGCTAAACTAAATGCACAGTATCTAAGGTCCATTACTGCATGTGTAACTGTACTCAGTCTGATCACAAGAAGCCAGGCAGAGCATAAACTAGGTGGCTGGCTCCTTGTGATCAGACCTGAGGAAGAATGTCATGAAGTCAAAAGCTTGTCTAGCTCTATCCCAGCTACATATTCGGTTCAATAAAAGATATCACACTAAGAAATTCTTGCCTTTTGCATAATTTCTGGATCATTGTGGCTACAACATCTTTCTTAGGTCTACAAATACTCATTAATTAAGGCTCAGGATGAGAGCCAGTTTTAGGCAGAAGCAGTCAGGGTAATGTCTGAGGGTCCACAAGTGCTAGGAAGGCGCTCATTCCTATGAGTTAATTCATGTAATCCAAAATGTAGGTAGGAGGAGTCCATGCACTAGCCTCAAGTTTAGGCCAACATGGACTTTTCTAGGTACAGAGCATATAGTATCAAGCCTTCATTCTCCAGGGGGTCTAAGGCTATCTCACTGAAGTATTTCTGGTTTGGGAGTGTACTAGAAGGTGCAATTGAGCACATACTGTGAATTTAGGGCCCTCAGTGCTGGGACTTAGTTAGGGTGACCATCTTTTCAAAGTAAAAAGGGGGGACACATGCCTGACTCTCTCACCTCCCCCACCCTCCCAGTTGGCAGTGCAGCCAGTGCAGGGCTCCTGGGAGAAGCATAGCAGGGCAGGGAGCCTGCAGTCCACAGCAGGTAGCCTGCATCCACCCCTGCCCTATGCATAAATCTGGGAGGCATATGCCCTCCATACCCCCCAGGAGTGTGCTGAGCAGTAAGGAACCACCCCCTTGCCCCCTGGTTGAGCCGCTTATGGCTGCAACCTTCTCCATGGGGCCTGGGACTGGGTAGTGCCCCAGCCCCAGGCCCCATGTACTACCCTGGCTGGGCAGTGCTCACAGCCCCAGCCCCACTCCCTCTGTCACTGTGGAGGCCTCAATCTGACCCTCACACCCCTATACCTCCTTCTCCCTCCCCCTATAGACTTACCTGCAGAGAACTGCTGGTCCATGCTTCCTGACTATATTCCCAGCCACCTGCATGTGTGCACGAACACACATGCATGTGGTGCTCCTTGTATCCCGCTCCTGGCAGCCCCAAGCAGCCCCTTGCAGGCTGGAATACTGCCAGCGTCCAACAGGAAACCTGCCATTTCCTGCAAGGAATGGTTATGGATCCCTGAATGATACTGCAAATCCAATGTTGTCCCAAAGTTATGCAGCCCAGGACTGGGATATGATCTGATTTTCTCAGCCTCCTGTCCCTTCCTCCCTAGCTGGTTTTATTGATATTTCTAATATGGGGCCTATAGGCAAAATAGATCCTCCACTACAAAGAAAGCATTTCCAGTCTAAATAGTTCAACTATTGCTAAATGCCTGTACATGCTGAAAGAATCAAATTTCCCCTCCTCCTCAAAGGTTTTGCTGTTACTCTAGAAACATAACAAAAATGGTAAGGTAGATGGGGAAGAAAACTAAGGTTAAGTGCTCAAATTAAGCAACTAGCTGCTATGCTATACATGAAAGGTTCTGTGTTTCATTATGTGATGTAATTTTCTGCTGGTACTAGGTGATGACAGTTGCTGAGAGAGAGGATTACTTTTGGTGGTTGTAATGGTACTGTTTCTGTGTTGTTGACAGCTTTGCTCACACCTCCCAGGATAAAAGTTATTGCAGATGGGTATCATTTACTGGTAGAGTTGGAAGACATGGGGCCAGCCTTTCAGTTTCACATACTCTATTGGAAGAATGGGCAGGAAAGTTGGGTGAGTCTAGCCTTTGCTTTCTACATAAGAATGGAGAACATCATGCATGTCAAAGTGAGAGGGCACAGAATATTTTTTGGAGATCAATGTTCCCTTCACCTTTTCTGTAACCATGCTGTAGCAATTACAACCGTAACTTTATGCTACTAGAATGGGAGTACTCTCTTTCTTGTTGCACTCTATTTTCCAGAAGTCATAGAGTGAGTTATTTTCATTCTCAGACAAAATTAGTTAAAAATTATTGTTAAATATGGTTAAAATTTTTATTTACAAAGTTCATTCTGGGTTTATTTTTTTCTCTTAATGAGATAAAAGTCATCCAGACTAATGTGTATTCTGTTCTTTTCATGTGTGGAACTTAGCAACCCATAATACATATAGTTTCATAGTTTCATAGTTGGTAGGGTTGGAAGGGACCTGAGCAGATCATCAAGTCTGACCCCCTGCCATGGCAGGAAAGATTACTGGTGTCAAACGACCCCAGCAAGGTGTTTATCTAGCCTCCTCTTAAAGATCCCCAGGGTAGGAGCCAGCACCACTTATCTTGGAAGTTGGTTCCAGATCCTAGCCACTCTGACAGTGAAGTAGTGCCTCCTGATGTCTAGTCTGAATCTACCCTCTGCCAGCTTGTGACCATCATTTCTAGTCACTCCTGGTAGTGCTCGGGGGAACAGGGACTCCCCCAATGCCTGCTGATCCCCCCCTGACTAGTTTGTAAATGGCCACTAGATCCCCCCTCAGCCTTCTCTTGTGGAGGCTGAACAGGTTCAGGTCCCTTAGCCTCTCCTCGTAGGGCCTGCCCTGCTGCCCCCTGATCATGTGAGTGGCCCTCCTCTGGACCCTCTCCATGTTGTCCACATCCCTCCTGAAGTGTGGTGCCCAGAGCTGGACGCAGTACTCCAACTGTGGCCTGACCAGTATTGCATAGAGGGGGAGGATCACCTCCTTGGACCTGCTTGAGATGCATCTGTGGATGCATGACAAGGTACAGTTGGCCTTCCTGACCGCGTCCCCACACTGTCGGCCCATGTTCATTTTGGCATCAATAATGACTCCAAGATCCTTTTCTGCCTCTGCACTGATGAGAAGGGAGTTTCCCAGCCTGTAGGTATACTGCTGGTTCTTCCCCACAAGGTGCAGTACCTTGCACTTGTCAGTGTTGAAACCCATCCTGTTCTCATCCGCCCACCCCTGTAACCTGTCTAGGTCTGATTGCAGCCTATTCCTCCCTTCTAGCATGCCTGCTTCCCCCCACATCTTAGTGTCATCTGCGAATTTGAACAGGGTGCTTTTTACCCCCTTGTCCAAGTTGCTGATGAAGATGTTGAACAGTGCGGGCCTGAGGACCGAGCCTTGCGGAACCCCACTGCCCACATTCCTCCAGGTTGAATAAGACCCATCCACCACCACTCTCTGGGTGCGGCCCTCCAGCCAGTTAGTGACCCAATTCACTGTGTAGGTGTTGATGCCACAGTCCCCTAGTTTTTTAATGTGAATGGGGTGAGAGACAGTGTCAAAGGCCTTCCTAAAGTCCAGAAAGACTATGTCCACTGCTACACCTGCATCTAAGGATTTTGTGACCTGGTCATAGAAAGCCACCAGGTTGGTCTGACAGGACCTGCCTCTAATGAACCCATGTTGGTTACTCCTAAGCATAATCTCCCCTGCTGGCCCCTCGCAGACATGCGCCAGGATAATTCTCTCAAAAAGCTTACCCAGGATCGAGGTAAGACTAACTGGCCTATAGTTTCCTGGGTCCTCCTTCCTCCCTTTTTTGACAATGGGAACCACAATGGCCCTTTTCCAGTCCTCTGGCACCACACCAGAGCACCATGAGTGCTTGTAGAGCCATGCCAGGGGTCCTGCAATGACCTCTGCTAATTCCCTCAGTACTCTGGGGTGGAGATTGTCAGGACCAGTTGATTTAAATACATCCAGTCCCTCCAGAAGTTCTCTGACTAGGTCCTCACTGACCCTAGGCCTGGGTGCGCCTCCCCTGGGACCTATGGGGATCCCCATGGGGGGGCGGGGTGGGGGAGGTGACCCGGTCCCTGCTCAGAAAAATGGAGGCAAAGAAATTGTTAAATAGGTTAGCTTTGTCATCTGGTGCAACAACCAGATTTCCTAGCATGTCTTGCAGAGGCCCCACATTACTTGGTACCTTCTTTTTACCCCCTATGTATATAAAAAAGGACTTCTTATCCTTGATCCGGGTAGCTAGTTCCATCTCTGCCTTGGCCTTCCTGACTGAACCCCTACAGCCCCAAGCAACCAAGGTATATCCTCCTTGGTGATGGCCCCTCTCCCTTCCGTTGGGTGTACACCTCCTTTTTAGCTAGGAGACATTCCCGTATGCTTTTGGTGAGCCATGGGGGCTTTTGCACTCTTTTGCCCCCTTTGATCCGCATTGATATTATCTATGAATACAATCATCAGAAGAAGAATCACAGTTGTAAGACGGTTGTCCCCACAATTCCTATCCATGCTTAGTAAGGTTGATTTGCCCCTTTGCCAAGGTAGGCCAGGTTAGTTCTTCTTCAGCCAGTTCCTAAGCAATTATATGTACCATACAATTGGTTTATCAACAAGATCATTTTTTAAACTGTAGTTTTATGTGCGGTTAGCATTGTATGCCGCAATGATGGTCATAATATTGGAACCTGAATAGGAAAGACACTTCAAGACTAGTTCTTTTTGGAAATGCATCATTTTTGGAGGTTTTATGTTGTAGTGGCTGAATACATCACACAAAAATACAAACATGGAGCCAGGCTTAGAACCCAAAGCCTCAAGAATTTCTAAACTGTGTGTCATCACCTTGCTAAAGGGATAACTGTCTGAATCTGGCTTCATCTGCAGCTGTGCATGATAAGTTATTCTGCAGCTTAGACCATGAGCTTTTGAATGCAGCACCCAGAAAATCAGGAACACACAAATAATAAACACCAGTGAAAAGTTTGGTTCTGATGACTCTCCCAGTATAACACAAGATCTGTAAGACAGGCACAGATATAGAATACCCTGTTTACTAGAATAAAAGATGAGGCTTTTCTCCCCAGCTGGCACGGGGGAAAAAGCACCTTGTCTTATAATCACAGGGAAGGAATTCTCACTAAATACGCTGTCAATCACTAAACTGCTGTCAAAGCAGCATGTGCTCATCAATGGAAACCAACTATGAAGTTGATTACATGCAGCCAACACTTTGACATGCAGCCAACACTGAGCAAGACTGTAAAACACATAGCCCACACTAGGAAAACATTCTGATGGGAACATTTTTTTGTTTTTTTGTGTGGCCTTTAAAAAGTGGGCAGTTGCTCCCCCAAGGAGAGAATAGGTACTTGGCCTGGAAGTACTGCAATACTAGGCTGGCATTCAAAGAGGCTGGAGAAAGCTCCAACACCCTCCTGTGGTGCCAAAAATGTGATAGTAACCTACCACAAAGATAGGTGAATGCAGCCTTTTTTTTTTTTTTTTTAATTTCATATCTTAGCAGTGACGACACATAGGGGGTGCACATGCATCCCCTGAGAGTGCTGGTGCAACCCCTGACAGCCAGTGTCCCTAGGCAGGAAGGGCAGGTGAGAGAGCTGGTGCCCCCCCCAAAGTGCTAGCTGAGGAGTGGGGGCGCCAGGAGATGTGGTCCCCCCCACAGCCAATCGCACTCACCTGGAAGTGCCAGTGGTGCTGCTGGAAGTGCCAACGGTGTGCTGCTGTCACTTGCAGGTTGGCAGGATCAGCTGCGGGGGACCCCTTGCCCCCCCGGTCTGTGGGATTAGCTGCAGTGGGACACCCCCCGGTCGCTGACTGCCTGCCGGGGGGCAGGGGCAAGCGGCCCCCCCCACAACTCAGGAGGCACCAGTTGCCCATGTATCTTAGGTCAAATTAACCAAAGCAGTTCCAAATTCTATTGACTGAACAGAGCTCAATCACTAAAGTCTGAACGGTGCCACCACTGGCAAGCATCCCACCTCCCAGACTCTTCATCCTGGGGCTTCAGATATTCCCAAATCCATGACAGATAACCTATGTGCAAACCCCAAAGCCAAAGGGACTGGTGTTCAGATGTCAGGTGTTTTTCTTGCCCCTAACCAAAGGTACCTCCCCTGCCAGCACAATGCCATCTAGCCCGCTTTTTTTTATGACATCATTTTTTTTTATAAATGTTTTTGTATTCCATATCAAATTAGCCAAATCAGTTCAAAATCCTCTTGATTGAGCAACACTCAATAATTCAAACACCATATGTGGTGCTACAACCAGCAAGTATCCTCCACCCCAGACTTTTCAGCCTGGGGCTTCAGATACTCCCAAATCCATTGGCAGGCATCCTACATGCAGGCCAAAGCCTGGAGGCTTGGGGTTCAGATGTCCCCAAGTATCACTTACTCTTAACAAAAGGCCACAGGAGCAAGCTAGTGAGGAGTCCCCCATTTCCATAAAGTAGGCATGTAACTGAGATCTTCCCACTGGAAGCTGGCCAGTGGGAAGCTAATTATAAGTCTCACAGGGCATCCTGTCTGCACTGAATTGGACAGGGGTGCACCCTCCATTACACAATGCCATTTAAAACCATCTTGGTTCAGGTAACAAACCAGTGTAGTGACTACAATGCATGCTCCAATAATTTTTTTTTTTTTGGTAAAAATATATATCTATATCTATAGCTACACATATAAGTTATCTATATATATCTTTATAGTTATATATATATATCTATATATAACTATATATAGATACATATAAGTTATACACACCTTCTAGCAATTTAGCACTGTCTCCAGGTCTGGTTGTCTCATTGTCACTGTCCATTCCCCTGCTGGGGGTGGGCAGTCTTGGAAGATTCTGTGCCAAGTGTCCCTTTGCCAGGTGGAGTTGGCTGCATCCTCACTGTCCTCTGCTACCGATTTCCGGTAGTAGGACTGGAGTTCACTCAGAGCCATTAACACAGTCTAGCTCCCTGAGGTTCTTGTGTCTGTACATCAGGATGTTCCTGGATTTCCACAGGCTGCTCCTGATGCAGGACACAAACTGATCAAAACAGGCCAACGAGCTCCCTTGGTGTTTAGTTAGGTGCCTGTACAGTGCTGCCTCTCTTGGTCAGCTGCCCGACCCCTGTCACTGCTTTGCACAGCCACTTTACCTTTTCCCACACCTCCTTGGTATATGAGCAGAAACCCATTCTAGAGCCTTCCTGGTCCCATAGAGGCACCTGCCCAAGGTCTGAAACAGGCATCTGCTCCAAAGGAGCCCAGTACATGAGAGCCTGAGGACCCTGGCCCCCCTTGGCTTTCACCTGAAATGCATAAAACTGTCCATATGTCCACCATCTTAGGCCCCCATCAGCAAAAATAAAAGTCAGTCCCTATGATCTGCTCAGTTTGCTATTGGATGTTAATGCTTGTACCCCACACCCATATATCCATGCAGACCTTCAACTGTACAGACCTGCTCTCCATTTGGCCATGTTTCCCACCCTGTCCCTCTACTTCCATTGTAAAGTTTCCCTCTCCCTTTTAGCCACTCCTCCCTGACTTCCACTGTCCTGTTCTCCCTTAGCTTCACCTTGTGCTAAAAGCAAGGCTAATTTTGATTTTGGAGCCCTATGATTTCATTTGGTTACTGATATTGTCTGTCACAGGTGCAAAAGATGATGGTGAAAGAGATTACCTCTGCTGTTCATCTGGACACAGTGGAGGCAGGAACTGACTACTGTGTCAAAGTCCAGACATATGTAGAGGCCATTAACAGGAGCAGCAACTTCAGCCAGACACAGTGTATCAGGGTGCAAGGTAGCAGTAAGACTTCCTCATCATTTTCATCTAACAGCATTATACAGTGGCTCTTCAGATATTACCTTCGATTTGTCTGTCATTCTGTTCACAAAGACACTGCAAAGATTTTTTTCTTGAGGAAAATAAGTGATTCATTCATTTTCTCACTGATGCCTCTCCTTGAATTGACACCCAACATTTCTGATTAATATTGTACTGCTAGAAGTTATTAATTAAAGATGCTCCCTAACAGGAGACTGGCAGAGTTGAGAATTGGGAGATTGTCCCTCAGTTAGGAAGCAGCTAGGCAGTCAGTCAGTGCCAGACAAAGTGTTTGAAGAGCTTTCCCACAGCTGCACAGTAAAGCTTGTTTTAATTCTTCTCATTCATGTATGCCTGTGTTTATTGCACCAGGTGGTCACTACAGATTTGGACCTTGTGGCTTCTACTGAAGTCACTGGTAAGAACAGTTGAAGGACCTCTTTCAGGACTGGGTGCTGAATCTGGACCTGGGAAGCTTGATCCAAATTTTCTCTGCTAAAATGCTCTGCTAATATAAGGTGCCACCCTGCCCTACTTTCTGCTAACATTCTGTCTTATTCGTTTGTCTTAGATGCCAGATCTACATGGGTAAATATTACTCTCATCTCCTTTGCTGGTTTTATTATGGCTGCTTTGGTCCTGCCTTTTCTTATCTGGAAAATAAGTCGAATCTTCGAGTATTCCTGTTGTCCAGTTGTTATCCTGCCGGAGACTCTGGTAATTTCTTTGTCTTCCTTGTTGTCTCTGGGGTGAAATACAGGAGCAAACTGATGGATTGAAGGAGAAGATGAAGATGTTGGAGAAATCATTTCTTCCAACATTGAAGTCCAGGTGAAACCCTGTAGGAAATAATTATAGCACATTGTCCAAACTGAATGCCTAAAGCTAGGTGACTAGATACAAGCTGAGGCCTCGGTCAGCAATGCGACTATCAGAGCAGGCAAGCACTCTGGCTTAATTGGCAGGGATTCAGGAGCTTTCCAAATCAAGCCACTCACTGAGGCTCCTAAATATGGATTTAGGAGGTCAGTATTAGGCTTTGGAGTTAAAAATATTGTTCTGTTTTGTTTCATGTCCATGTTTGTGTGAATCTTTCTTAATTATATGGAGCGCACATTGGCAATGGTCTGGAAAACCTGAGCATGCCTATTTCCCCTCTTGGGCCAGGAAGGAGGAAATACAGTATTTACCTAAATCCAAGATAACGTTGAATTTAAGATGATCCCCAAAATAATTAGATTCTATACATGGAAAGTTATAGTTTTCCATGTATAGAATACAACTAGTAGAAAGCTATCTTAAATTTGG